CCATAGTACTGCTTAGCTCCAGCCTTGCAGCGATTCCTGCAAGGATCACGAAACGCCTTCCCAAACACATTCAACAAGCAGGGAAACTGAGGCACGAAGACAAGCGGCATCTGCTAAACACATCGCTGAAAGAGCCACAAAGCCCAGATGACAGCTCTGCCAATAAACCAGGGAGAATTTATTCCTGGCATTGAATTCCTGCTTACTTTAAGAATACTTTAAAAACTTTCTAATTCACCGCAGCGGCATTAAAACTTTTACAGCAGCGGGCAGACATCTGATTCATTTTAAGCCGCAGCAGTTCCCAGTTCAGCAGGACCGGTTGGGAAATTTAGGATTTTAGTCCGTTTCACGCTCGATGAGTAAGGTGGGCAGTGCGGAAATAAATGCAGCCCCTCATTTCCAGGCAGACCAGGACGCATTTGGCTAGCACTGGAGCGCTTTTGGCAACGGGCAGCATCAGGAGTAAAGTAGGTCCAAATAATACATACATATGGGTATGCACACACACATACATATGAAAAACAAAACTAGGGAAGAAGGAATAAAAACTAATAATAATAATAAAARGATGTCCCAGCGTTGTCCTGTTGGGTAGCATCTTGGGGGCTCTTCTGCCACACGGATGTGGCGCAAGGAACCAAAACACGGGTGAGCAGCAATCACAGCCATTCTCCCCCCTCCAACATATCCAGTTTTAAGGAAGAAAGTCACATTTTTTCAGGTGCTGAGAAAAGTGTTTATAATTTTTAAAAGCTATTTCCAAAGAGCAGGACTYGGCTGCTCTTCCCTGGACATCCCAAACCTGCCGCCGGCCGCTCAGAGTCCGTGGGGAAAGGGGCACCGGGCCCCCTTCCCCGGGCCTTGGCGGGTCGGGGCCGCCCCTGATCACGGTGGGGACCCCGACCCGACCCGGGGAAATCTCCCCTCCCTCGGGTTCCCCATTTCCATGCCCCGGCGCCTCTGCGCACGGGGGACATTTGCGGCGACTCCGCAAAGTTGTCTCAGCCGCGGCAGCCGGCGAGAGGCGTAAGGAAAAAAAAACAAAAATAAAAAGCAAACGAAAATTGCAGTTTTCATCTGCTTTTCCGGTTTTTGTTTTCGCCCCGGGGGCGGCTCGCCGGGACCCCTCCCGAGCAAGCCCCTGCTTTGAAGCGGGGCCCGCGCCCACCCCGGGGCAGCCGCGGGGACGGGAGAGCGGCGGGGGCGGCTGCAGCCGCCTCTGCTCGCAACGAAAATCGCGCCCCGGCYTTAGCGGGTCGGGCAATATCTTTTTACCGAAAGGCGACGGAGGGTTGAGAGGAACAGGCACCGGAGAGGAGGGAGAAGCCCGCACACCTCCTGCTCGGCGGCTYCTCCGTGCCCGGCCGCTGCGCTTGGAGAAGGGCGAGCGGGGCTCGCAGAATCCCGCGCAAGTCTGCGCTACCTTCGCTAAGGGACTCAGGCTGCCTTATCTTTTTGCCGATACCTTTGGTGCTAATGCAGGGCCCTTTCGGGCTCGCTGCCCGGCCCCGGGGCTGCGCAGGGCAGGGGCACCGGGGCCGCCCGCCGCGCTCCGGGCAGCAGCCCCGCGGAGCGCCGCCCGCCGCCCCCGGGACGGGCGGAGAGGGCGCGGGGACCCGGCAGCAGCCGGACGGCCCCGACGGGCGGCTCCGCGGCGGGCCCGATCCCGCCCGGCGGAGCATCCCCGTGCGGGAGCCGCCGTCCCGCGACGAAAGCAGCTCGTYCCCACCTCCCCCGGGGCGCTGCCCACGGGCAACCGGGTGTTTCCCCCTTTCCGAGCCGCGGGGCCGGGGGCGCGGGACCCTCGCGGTTGTGCCCGCACTTACTGTCCTGCTGCGGGGTGTCGCTGCCGCTGGTCAGCCCGGGCGACTCCAACAAGCTCCGGCCGGGCTCGCCGCCGCCCTCGTCCGCCTGCGCGGCCACCATGTCGCCCGCCTCCTCCAGGTCCAGCAGGTGACTCACGGAGAAGTTCTTCTTGCCTTGTAAATTGTCCAGGCCGGCGGGGCCGTCGAGGCGGGCGGGCAGCAGGGCCTGCCTCTCCATGGCGTGGGCATAGCTGGACGCCATGGTGCCGAGCGGGGCTTTTCTGCCCTCACCCGCCCCCCCCTCCCGCCCCCGTTTCCCCCCCCCGCAGCCGCCGGCCCTTCGCGGGGGGGCGGCTCGGGACCCGACGGCGGCGGCGAGGAAAGCCCGAAGGAGCGCGGGCAGCGCCGGCTTTAAAACATGCCGCGGGGCAGAGGCGGCGCGGCCGGCTCGGGGCGCCGGGACGGCGGCGCACGGGGAGCTGCCGCCGGCCGGGAGGCGCACGGTGGCTGTGGGGCCGCCGGGGCGGGTGCGCCCCGTCCCTCCGCCTCCCCTTCCTCCCCTCCTTCCT